GGAGAGAGCCAACAGATCATACCACAATTGTAACTTCTGCATGGTGCCTCCAGTTGGGAAAGGTGTGTCAAAGAAGAAAAAGTGGACTGTGCATTATCCAAACATTCCATCAGCTATACGCCCAGTACCCCACGGAAAAGGACTGCCGGTTCCCGATGCACCAGAATCATTCTCACTTGAGTCAGACGAGGAAGAGGAAGAGGATGAAACTTCTGGGTCCTGAACCATCAATGTCACAGGACCCACATTTTCTCCCATCCTCCTCCTCTGAACCACACCTCATAACACAAGGTGAACTGAATGCCCTTGTCAGGAATTTTTTGCCTTTTGCTTCATAATAAATTTTATTTATATAACCCTTTTGCTGATTTTTAAAGTGTTACATAAACAGGACAGGTGAAATAGTATCATGCAAAGCAACCATAAACACATGAAAAGACCTAGGTTTACAATTTATGATTAAAACTCTACTATCTACACAATATACATGGACATAAAATGTAAAAACTTAAATATCTTAGAAACGGTAGCCAATCAGTTGTTTTAATTGTCATATTTGAATTCAGCACATCAAAATACATAATAAATATCACATTTTATCTCTGAAGCAGACGACATCTCAAAAATTGTAGACCAGTGTTATTGGCACTGTTCATGTTGTTCACTTTTTGTTGTGCATTCAGTGGGAGCAATGAAAGCAGATTAGTTAGTTTCACTTTCTGTCATAGTCAGGTCCAGTGCCTGGTTTTCTTGCACTAGACTCTCTATGCTTCAATGTTTAGGAGTTGCAAACACAGCAGGGAACTGCATATCTCCAAATAAATATGTATTTCTCAAAGAATTTTTCTTTTATTGAAGCTGTAGTTCTATTAGCTTCTTGTAAAATGTTTTTTAACCACCAAAGCTGTGAGGCCTAGATATATCTGCCTCTTTAAGCAAGTCTTTTAAAAGATTAATATATATTAAAGCTTGTTTTCCTAATTCAGCATTTCTGATAGTTTACAAGAAAAGGATTAAGATAAATACAAAGGTATATGTGAAAGGGAGGGAAATGTCTGTCTTAGGAGACAGAGTGAGCTAATTCAAAGATGTCAGCTAGAAAAGGCTGATGTTCATTAGCTTTTCCTTTTTTCCAAAGCTGAAATGAGCAGTGTTACCAGATGATACATGTGTTGTGTGACATGGGATATTTGGACATAGGTAGGCCTGGAAGGGTTAGATATTTATCAGTAAATGTTGATTTCACTGTACACAAACACACATCCTGAAACAAATATTTTCATCCATACTGACCAAAATTTATAGATAGGTGATATAAGAAAAATATTGCTTGCGAACATGATTTACTTTGTCAATGTCACATTAAAATATACAATCTGTGTTTTCATGGTTATAAATAGGGCACTACCAAATTCATGGTCCACTTTGGTCAATTTCATGGTCATGGGATTTAAAAAATAGTAAATTTCATGATTTCAGCTATTTAAATCTGAAATTTCACAGTGTTGTAATTGTAGGGATCCTGACCCAAAAAAGGAGTGCTCTGTGTGTGTGGGGGTGTCACCTGCCCCCCAACAAATCCAAAGAAGAAAGCACAGAATGGAGCAGCAGAGAGCGCTGTGCAGAGAAGAAGCGAATCAACCGCTGGTAGGAACCCAAGAAAGAGCCTGCGACGTTGCGTACCAAACCCTGCCTAAAGTTTGGCGCGGCTCTGAGCGCTCAGCGCAGGAATGCGGCTCTTTATAATCCTGGGCAAGGGGAGGGAATAAGGAAGGAGCCGGGCAGCTCTGGGCTGCCTCCGGTGCGGTTGGTGCTCGCTCTGCGGTTGCAGCCATAGCTGGCTCAAGAGGCGATACATAGTAGCTAGCAGCAGCAATCCCACAAGTGGTTTGTGTGCTGCCGCTGCAGGAGGAGCTGATCGGGGCAGCCAGTCCGCCGGAGGGAGCTGCGCTGGCGGCGAGAGCCGAAGGAGGAGCGTCTGCCCGGGGAGGAGCGGGCGAAGAAGTGCAGTGACTTCGGGGAGAGGCTGTGCCCGGCTGCCAGCAGAGCCGCTCGCCAGGTGGTCACTTCCCTGCAGGTGAAGCCAGCCCAGCCCAGCGCGCGGGGAAGGGGCGCGCAATGGTGCCCTTGGCAGGCACCCGGCGGGACTGCGCTGCCCTCCCGGCTCTGCGAGCTCACGGCAGCTGCTAAGCCGGGACTGTCTCCGCTTTCCCCGCCCAGCGGCGGGCTGCAGGACTCGGAGCCTCCGGCGGCGAGGGATAGGGCGGCAGGGCGAGCACGGAGGGCGGCGCAGCATGGCATCTGCTTAGCCCCGGCGAGCGGCACCAGCAGAGCCGGGGACGCGGCGCGGGGCTCCGCAGGGATGAGCGACAGCAGCGAGGGGATCAGCTTCTCGGTGCCCAGCCCGCCGGGCGGCGGCTGCCTACACGAGGAGGGGCTCGGCGGGGTCAGCCGGAGAGCGCCAGGGGCCGACGGGGGCGCCCGGAGCCTCCTCCCCGCCCCGGCCGCGCCGCCAGCCGGCACCTACTGGAATGAGGACAGCGGCGCTGCCTGCCCCGTGGCGGGGACTGGAGCCCGAGCCAAGGGCGGCTGCACCAGGAGAACCACGGTGTCCTACGTGATCAACGAGGAGAGCCAGGGGCTCCTGGTGGCGGCGGAGAGCGGGGCCCTGCAGAGCCTGCGGGAGGCGTGCGAGGCGGTCGGGGCCTCCCTGGAGACCTTGCACTTCGCCAAGCTGGACTTCGGGGAGACCACGGTGCTGGACCGCTTCTACAACGCAGGTGAGCGACCGGCCCCTGCCCATCGCCTCTCGCCCTTTTTCCTGCCCCTGCCTCGCTTCCCCTTCTCTTTCTCTCCTTCCCCTGGGCAGCAGCCCGCTCGGGGAGCCGCAGCTCTCGCCCCTCAGCCCCAGCGGGCGCCCCGGTGTCGCTGGCTGGCGTGGGCCCTAGTTCTCTGCTTCCTGTGGGAGCCCACAGTGTAGAGCTCCCCCGGGGAGCCACTGCCAGGGCTCTACTTCGCTCTTTCAAAGAGTGGTGGGATGTTTTTGTCACCTACTTGATTACCTGCTTTCCTGGGTGTGACATTCTGGGGTGCAATCCAGACCAGTGAGGGGCTGTGTCACCCCGGTCCTGGGGCTGCCTGGAGTTTTTAGCTAACATACCACATGCGGTCCATATCGGACATAAGTTTAACCCAATTGGTGTAATGTGTCAGTTACTACCTCTAGCACTCATTTCACATTTTCTTCAGTGGAGTCAACTCAATTCAGTAGCACTTTATTGGGGTGACATGCTATACAAACCTTACCACAGTGTCCGCAAAAGACAGACTCCCCACAAGTGATTGATAGGGGTAGGTGCATCCCACTCAGACTGGGGTTACACACTGTGTTTGAGGTTCCATTTCCTAGACCATCCATCATCCCTGGCTACTCCTGAACTGGTGGCAGTTTGCTATGTAGCACAATGCCATCTCTTCCTTTTCTCACAGGGTCAGGCCCAGTTTTTCATATCAGATGTTTTTTATTATTCCTGACAGTTTCAGGAAATACCTTTCTCACACTTCCTGGTAGTTGGGACATTGGAGTAGAAAGTGTGTCACTGTCTCACTCTCTGCCACATTAGTTGGTTAGTGGCTCCTCTCCTTTTAGGCAGTGCCCCCCAATTTTCTACTCTAGTCATTGATTCTGTATTAGGTGAGTGCCTACCTGAGTTTTGCATATTCCGCTAGGGTGGAGTCAATAGGGCTCTGGATGGGAATAAGGGTTCACCCGGTGTAACTGTATGATCAGGGCCTTACGTAGTATTTTAATTTTTACAAAGCTTTTCTTTCTTGGTGTTTTTATTCTTTTATTGACTATCACTTGGCAGTACAGTTTAAAACAGATTCTTGGACATGCTTGTGGTTTGTACCATGTCTTGACAGAGACCTTATTTCTTGGACCCCCATCTCTTTCGCTGGTGCTTAAATAATATCCCTCAGGCCACCACATTGTTTACATGGAAAAAAATATTAGCTAAACCACATTAAATAGTTTCCTTTAATGTGATTTGGGGGAAAAGAAGGAGGAACTAATAATATTAAGCCAGCTCTCGACGAACCACCAGGCAGTGCTCTTTGGAGCACTGGTTGTTTACAGAGCACAATTTAAAATATCCATATAGTGTGTTTTGACTATTGTCCCCGCTACTGTACCAGGGCACACTGGGCCTGCTTTTCAAAGGTGCTGAGGTCCTTCAGTTCCCATTTACTTCAGCTGGAGCTCAGAACTTTTGAAAATTAGGTCCAGTGTGTGAATATTTCAACAATACCTTTGTGCTGAACCAAAATTTGGGATAGTCTTTATATTTGTATGCATGGAAGTGTATACATTATATATCAATTGCATAAAACATTCATGACAGATGGGATTAAACAGAACTATGTATATAGAGTAAAACAGTTGCCAAGAAAGTCCCTGAACTCCGTGCTCTACCATGATTTACCTACAGTTGCAGTAGCAAATTTGAAACTATTTGACTTGCTGGCAGTGTGTACAGTAAACTGTCTGCTACAATCAGGGCCGGCTCCAGCATTTTTGCCGCCCCAAGCAAAAAAAAAAAGCTGCAATTGGCAGCTGCAGTTCAGCGGCAGGTCCTTCGCTCCTAGAGGGAGTGAGGGACCTGCCGCCCCCAAATTGCTGCAGGTGCCGCCCCTCTCCCTTGGCCGCCCCAAGCACCTGCTTGTTAAGCTGGTGCCTGGAGCCAGCCCTGGCTGCAATCAGTCTGGCTCCACTGGCAAAAAAAGATTTGCATATACAAGGCCATCCAGAGCTTCTCGTTATCAAATGGGTAAGGCAAATGGGGGGAAATAGCAACGGCCTATCAGAGTCATAAAGACTTTATAGAACCAGAATGATCATGTTAAATGCTCTTTTCCTCTTATTTTACAAAAGGAGGGAGCAGTCTGACTGTGAGAGAATTTGGAGCTAAGTTTTGACCACGTCTGTATGTGTCTGGAATATGTTAGCTAAAACGTTTACAATAATGTTTTTCTTCTTCTTCTTTTTTTTTAACCAGTGCAGTAACAGCAGGTATCAGTAATCCCCTCTGCTTCTGCAAGTAGAGGTAAGATGATACCTGCATATCCTGACTGGATGGTGTGCCACTTCCATTGCATGCTCCCTTACACATACATGTACGTGCACATGCACACACATCGTTTCTTTGCAAGCCCCACCACACAGGCTTTGATGGGTGGTGGCAGGGCCTGCAGTAACTTGTGTGGCCTCCACTCCATCCTGTGGAACCTGGATTTGATGGGAGCTCAGAGATGGTGGCAGTTGGCTGCCAGGGGAGTTGTGGTGTCAAATGGCAGTAGAGAGGCAAAAAGGTTCCACGTAGACCCCTTTTGTCTCCATGTGCTGATAAAGGGGCACTACAGGGTTTGGGTACCAAAACAACCTGCTACATTGGAGTGGGTAAAACCTTGGAATTGCCACTCAATTTCTCAGCTTATTCCCTTGTAGGATTATCAAGAGATTCCAGTATTTATGATTATAGAATGATAAATTCACTTTCCCTTCAGCCTCATGTGCCTGCATCAGGTTTTCAAATTCAGATTATATTAGGTTTGGCATCAGAATTTCAGGATAGAAACTTGTGATGAGAGATCAGACTTGAAAGTGAGCTCTTTTAGTTCTGGCAGTTGGAACTCTGGCATATAATAGCATAATTGCACACTTAGGTAATGCATCTTTTGCTTACTTATTTCGATGGCTTTTGAACAAAAGCTATATAAATGTAAAAACCTTGCCATAATTTATATGAATTTAATCAAAGTACTGTGAAATATACTATGTCATTCTGCCTCTATATCAGGGGTGGGCAAACTACGGCCCTTGGGCTGGATCCAGCTCTCAGAAGCGGCCAGCACAACTGCGCCCCCTGGGCTGGGGGGCAGAGGGCTCCGTGCGTTGCCCTTGCCTCCAGGCACCGCCCCCCGGAGCTCCCATTGGCTGGGAACGAGGAACCACGGCCAATGGGACCTTCGGAGGAGGTACCTGGAGGCGCAGCAAGGGCAGTGCATGCAGGGAGCCTGCCTTGGCCCCGGTGTGCGCCGCTGCCCCCCCGGAGCCCCTTTAGGTAAGTGGCGCCAGGCCTGAGCCTGAACTCCGCCTGCACCCCGCCCCCCAACTCCCTGCCCTAAGCCCCCTGCCTGTACCTCGCACCCCTCCTGCACCCCAACTCCCTGCCCTGAGCCCCCTCCCACAGTCTGCTCCCTGCCCTGAGCCCCCTCCCACAGTCTCCTCCTGCACCCCTGCCCTGAGCCCCTTCCTGCACTCCGCACCCCTTCCCTGAGCCCCCTCATACATTCCGCAACCCTCCTCTGCCCCAATCTTTTGCCCTGAGCCCCTTCCTGCACACCATACCCCCTCCCACATCCTGCACTCCCTCCCACACACCAACCCCCTGCCCTGGCCCTGCATGCAATTTCCCCACCCAGATGTGGCCCTCGGCCCAAAAAGTTTGCCCACCCCTGCTCTATATGGCAGCAAAAGCCAAATACTGTCCATAGGGGTATGCATCTCTAACCTAATTTATTTTTAAAAAATAGCCCAAAAAATCTTAGGTTTACTAACTAATTCAGTTAGTAGTTGTCTGCTATCTAGATGCACTTCTGAAAGATAGGAATGGGAGACCCCATAAATGAGGCCCTGGGTAATGCTCTGCTCAGATGCCCATCCCGCCCATCCCTATGGAATGCGGTCTCTGAACTTTTCTGGAGTACACCATCTTCTGTATCAGCCTCTGGATGCAAGGTGTCTGATAATTTGAAGCTGCAACAATCAGTAGCTTTTGGGAAGGCTCTTGGGGTTTTTACTTTTCTCACTTAAAATCTCCTAGCTGCTGCCAAGGGAAGGAAATGTTTCTGCCATTGTATGCCTCCTTCAAAGCCTCTGGGTTACTGCCAAGGGAGGTGTCTTTATTTTTCTTGTCCTTATCTAGCCCTACTACTATGAGACTTCCTTTCTTCCCGAAGAATTCCAGCTGCAGCTTGCTGCTCTTATCGCTTTTCCAATTAGTATGAAATTGACATGATTATTGACAATTTCATTGACCTCTACATGGGTTAGAATAGCAGCCATGAAATTGACTAGATTTGTTAATTTAATTCTGCTACCCTTTGGCAAAACCAGCAAAGACATAGAAGCATTCTATCTGGGGACAGGAAGAGAAGATGTCAACACTTTGACTTGAAAGATTATCTTTGCAACAATAAAGGGTAGCAATGTGATTGCCTTGTACATTGTTGGTGTTATCTAACTAGTCAACAATTAATGAAGCTTAATTTATTGCGATTACTGAATGGGCCTAAAATTCTGTCAGAATTAAAATGAAGAAGTAACGAAAGGAAGCTGGTTGAACAATTCAGGCATGAAGTTTAGGTTTAGTGTAAAAGATTTTTTATTAATTATAGTTGGTCAAATCCTGGTTTCACTGAAGTCAACAGGAGTTTTGTTATTGACTTCAGTGGGGCTAGGATTTGGCCCTATACAAATACAAATGTTTTTTTCATTCTTCTCCTGCTTCCAATTTAAATGATATATTATGGAGAATTAAACATTCCCTTTCACTATGTTAAACCCAGTGACAGCAGCATTGAGCTGGTGTGCATGAGAACATAATCAGACTATCTTCATTGTCTGAAAGAAAGAAATAAAAATGGCAGGAAGCAATGTAAATAGGGGGAATGAAAGGCAGGACGACTCAGGACAAAAATGAATTAGACTTAAAATGAT